CCTAGAGTTTGGAATATGCTTCACATTTGCATTCTGTGCAGTGTCCCCCTCTTCCAAGCAAAATACGCTGAGGTTGCAGTCTTAGTGCGACCACATAGGATGCGGATGACTAGGTTTGGGGTGGAGTGGGGAGCCCTGGCTGTGCTCTGTGGCCTGCATGGTAGTCATGGACAGAAGCTAAACGGACAGCACAGTGGAGAGGACAGCGGTTTTGTTGACAGCAGTTTCAATGAGTGGAGACTGCTTGAGGAGGATAGTGTGTCAGAGAAAACTAATCTCTGAACAGGTGGAGAAGCCTGCTGCAGTTGGGGATCCAAGCTTTTCTTTGTCTCCAACAATCAGTGTGGACCCTTTGCAGATCCCTGTTAGCTTTGGTGTTGGAGGAAACCCTGGTTTAGTCCCTCCTCAAAGTCTCTGCTAACAGCTCTGAGCACTTGAGTTTGTGTGCCAGTGACTCGGCTCCTTGCAACCCGATCCCCAGAGGTTCCCAGGCCCTGTGCCTGCCCAGAGCTGCCCTGGCAGAGCTATTGTCCCTGGCAGCTGTGGTGGTTCCCCTGGTGAAGATGGCCAGCCTGTGACTAGGTGGGCTATGAGCAGAAGGGCACACTGTTTGGGAGAAGCACCTGGAGTGAGCAGCCACTTGCCCTGGCAGGTGTGATTCTTAGTGCCATGCTGACTGGTGCTAGACTTTGGCAGGGTCATGAAGGCAGGCCTTAAAATGATCATTAAAATTAAAAAAAAGTTTCTATTTTTACAGGTAACATGATTGCATAGTTGATATCATGTGTAAGGGTAAAATTATAGTGAGCTTTTATTATTCCATAAATTTACTCATATATGTTTGTGTATGTATATACATATATTTACGCACACACACACACACACATATATATACATACCAGAGTGCTTATGCACACATCTCTCTTTCTCTCTCTCTCTCTCTCTATGGAGCCTCGGTAGTGCAGTGCTTAAATGCATGACTGCTATATGAAAGACTGACAGTTCAAACCTACCCAGCAGCTCTGCAGGAGAAACACCTGGCAATCTGCTTCTGTAGAGATCATAGCCTAGGAAATCCTATGGGGCAGTTCTGTTCCGTCACTTATGTTGATATGCTAATGTTGATGTTGCTGAGTGCCATTGAGCCAATTTCAGCTCAAGTAGTTTTTATTTCTTAAAAAAAGCCTAGATATAGATGGTTTGATAAGTTCTCTTTCCACTTAATAGCTTGTCTTGGCAATCTTTCCACATCAAATACACCAGATAGCTTTATCCTTTTACTTGCTTCCATGTTTCACATACGGATGCACCCGATTTTACTTAACCACTTCCATTTTCAGGAGCACATTGGCTATTTCTGACGTTTGCTCTCTCAGTGCAGCTGTAGAATTCTAGTGCACACATCTCCATGCCTGCCGTGGAGTCCTTCGTGCACATCCCTGTGCCTGCCGCTGGGTCCTGTGAATACGAGTCTCTGTGCCTACCATGGAGTTCTGGAAACAGGAGTCTCTGTGTATGCCATGGAGTCCCATGTGCGTATCTCCGTGTAGACCATGGAGTGTTTGTGACTTCATCTTTGTGCACACTGTAAAGCCCTGTGCACATTTCTGTGTTTACTGCAGAGTCCTTGCGCACATGTCTTCATGCACACGTATGTGATCCTGTGACTCAGTTTCACTAGCCCGGAATGTTCTCACTTAAATCATACTCGTGATGGAAGTGGGGCTTCCCAGACAGACAGCTCTGTTTTGCTTTGGGAGAAGCTTGGAGGATTAAAGTGGGCACTTGTGGAGGAATGACTGCTCTCTGGCTGAGACTATTATGTTGTGTAGTTGAGAAGGAATGTAACCAGTGGCTACCACAAGTGAAGTTTCAGTGAAGTTTCTCTGTAAGCAGGTGCTTCACTGGGGTATATGGACATGCCCCCTCTTCCCTGGCTCACAGCAGCCATCTTTTAGATGACAACCAAAACCTCTTTTTGTTGTTTTAATCTCCAGGAAGATACAGTAGTATAATAAGTCCGAATGTCAAGGATTACCTTGAAAAATGTCCCATACAATTATAACCAGACCGGAGGATGTGGGGATAAGCGAGCATGTTAGTGCTTTCCGCAGCCAGCTGCATTTTGACTAGAGGATGCTGAGGGTGGGCTCTTGAGGGCTGGGATTCTCTTAGCAGAAATAATGACATCATTTCCTGCCATTTCCGTGCATTACCAAAATCAGCTTATGGCATTTTCCATCCCCATTTAGGGTGGAACAAAGTAGACCTCCGCTTGTTGGTTTTCAGGTCCGTCTTTCAGGCTGTTTTAGGAAGGAGGGAGGGTTCAGTGGGTGGTGGGCAGGGAACTGCTGTACAGGCTCTGAAATTGTCTGCTGAAGATGCTCCAGGGATCTGGACGAATGGCGCAGTTTCAATGGTCTTGGGCTCTGGCAGATTCCATCTACCATTTTGTGTCTTTTGCAGTTGTGTCTTTTCTGGAATGCAAGGAGGCTGCTAGAGGATTTGCTAACCTCCTCCCAAAAGGGTGAAGGAATTTTAGAAATTGCAGGTGCCTCTGATGAGTGTGGGTATGAGTTTTTTGGAACCATTTTGTTGACTTGGTGGAGTCACTGGGGCCGAGTGGGCAGGATTGCTGTGGCGATGGCTAGAGTCCGGCCTGAGCCTGCTGGGTTGGGCTGTTGGGGCCCCTCAGAGGTGGGAGCTCTCACCATCCCTGGTGCATATCAGTTCATGTGTGGAGGACATCACCTGTCTTTCTCAGAGTGCCCTCAGCCATAATGCCCTGCAGTACCACTGGGGCGAGTCCTAGGGGTGGTGGAAGAGGTTTTGGCAGCTATATGTGAAGAGGCTTTTGGCACTGGTACTGATGGCATCATGGTAGGGGGCTTCTGTGTCTGGTTCGTCCTGTGGCTGTGGTAGTGGTTTTGTTGGGCTACACAGCTGCCTAGGAAGTTGTCAGGAACTCTGTGCCGAGTGTACATTGCTATTCAACTTGGGCTTCTGCACTGGCCAGTAGGCCCTGTGTTGGGTGCATGGTGACATGGGGCCTCAGGGAAGGTATGGGAGTCATTAGATGTGTCCTCAGCATGACATGGGCCAGGCTCTACTCAGGCCACAGATGGGCCATGCTAGAATTTGGGCAGCAGGGGCCACACACGAAGGGAGGGAGACCAAGGGCAGGTGGGCAGGGCCAAGCATTTGGTGTATTAAAGAGCTCACTGCATGAGGGTGTTGGAAGAACTGGGGGTTGCTTAATTTCTCAGGAGGTCCAGGTTTCCCCCGATGTCTGATGGGTGGTGGGATCCACTCAGAATGGACAGTGTCCTCACTGTGAAGGGGGCCTTGATGAGTCCGCTCACACTGGACAGTGTCCTCATGAAGGGGAGTATGGTGAACTAGACAGGGCATGGATACAGGACTAGAGAGGGGACTGGTTGTCAGGGAAAGCAGCAGGGCTTCTGGCCAGTGAACACCCAAGGGTCATCCTGTGTGCCAGCCTGGCCATCTGGTGGGCTGAAGTAGCCTCATCATCAAGGGCTCGGGGTCTGCCCAGCACTGCCCTCACCGTGGACTGGATGTGTGGCCCTGGTAGGTAATTGCAGGGGAAGGGGCTGCACCTGAAGCTCACGTTGGCTGAGTCTGCAAGACATGCAAAAGTAGTCATGTACGTACAGTGCAGGAAGTCTGGGAGATTCTGCAAACTTTAGCTGTCTCAGATTGGTGGGTGAGAAAGCTGGGGCCTGGGAGTTCTGGGGGCCTGCTCAGAGCCTTGAGGCCTTCAGAGAGCCTGGGACATGCACCACTAAGCAGTGCTTTGCAGGTGCAGAGAGCTCCTCCATCCACAGGGGTGCCCTGCAGAAAGGGCTAAGGCCAGTCTTAGCTCTGAGGTTGGTGAGAGCACACGGAGGGCTGGCCTCCCCTTCCTAGGTTTGGCTTCCTGGAGTCTAAAGAGCCTACCCCTCCAATAAAATCCATTGTTGTTTGTTGATTCTGACTCAGTGACCCTGTAGGACAGAGTAGGATGGCCTGTAGGATTCCAAGGCTGTAAATCTTTACACAGACAGAGTGCCTTGACTCTGTCCAGTGGGGCAGTTGACGAGTCTTGTTAGCAGCTGAGTGCTTAACCATTTTGCCACCAGGGCTCCCTACCCCTCCAGTAGACAGGCCTTAGGGGAAAAGGCTATGTCGTGAACTGTCATGGGGCTGTGGGTGACCAAAAAGCCTAGGTGTGGATTGAGTGTGGCAGGGGCATAGGCTGCAAGTTTTTCACTGTGCACAGTGGCATCGTCCAAGGCTGAGAGCTCTGGATCCGCAGACTCAGAGTGGCCGTCTCAGGCCGGGAATGTGGGGCCGGCAAGGTGGAAAAGCCATGGGTGAACATGTTAGAGAACCTCTGCTGTCCAATGTAGCTCACATCTCATTAAACACACTCACTAAAACCATGCTCACAGCAATGATGAGGTGACACAATGGAGAAGGACGTGTGCCCCACAGTGCAGACGCCCTGGTCATGGATGTAGCTCAAATCCCATTCACCAAAAATAGAGGCTTAGGGAGGCTGCCATTTATCTAAATTAGTTCAATGGGAGAATTCTCGCCTTCCAGGTGGGAGACTCAGGTTCTGCTCCTGGGCAGTGAACCTCATGAGCAGCCCCAGCACCCGTCTGTGTGGAGGCTGGCTTGTTGCTGTGATGCTGACCAGGTTTCAGCAGTGCTTGCAGATTAAGGTGGGCTAGGAAGAAAGGCCTGGAGATCTGCTTGTGAAAAATCAGGCAGTGAAAACCTTATGAATCACAGTAGTTTGGTCTTGGTGTGCATGGGGTTGCCATGAGTCTAGGCCAACTCAGTGGCAGCTACTAGCCAACCAAGGGTTACAGCTATGGCTCAGCATTGGAGAAGCTGACAGTGACTTGGCTGGGTGGGGGCAGGGCCTGGGCCTAGCAGGCCCACCAAGGCTGCTGGGTCCCCTGACCCCCCACCCCTGTGTTTTCCTACAGGTCCGACAGTGCCACCACCCTCGAAGCTTGCTGCCACTCAGGACTCACCCGTGGGACCAGGAGTAAGTCCCGGCCACCAGGCCATGTCATGTGCATAAGGAGAAAAAGCTCATTTCAGAATCCAGAAGAGAGTGACTTAAAAGTTCTGAGTGTGAGAAAAAATTGTTTTGTATCTTTAAAAATACTCCTGGCCTTCATGGGGCTGGGGAGAGGTCTTAGCCATGCAGAGGTGGCCATCATGGGAGTTGTCTCTGTTGCTCACCTGACCTGGCATTTCCTCAGTATCTCCCAACATGTTGGCTGTAGTGCCAGACTGTCGATGGAGAAGGGTGCCCTGCTGACTGCTAATGACCCTCAGTTCCCATCTGAGGATGTTCTCTCACTTTTAAAAATAATATGTTCTCTCTGGCAATGATGTCCAGCACTTTTTTTTTTGTTATTGTTCTGTTTTCTTTTTAAGAAATGCTGAGGTGTGGTTTTCACCCTCCTCTCCTAGATGGTCACTGCTGGGGGACAAAGGGCACTCCAGAACCAGGTCCCAGCGCATCCTGGGAGTTGCCAGCCTTCTCAGGGCACCAACTGGGACCTGAAGGCTGAGCAGCCAGTCCTGATGGGAGGGGGCCACAGCTGAGTGAGATGTATGCTGGCAGCTGTGTACCAGACAGCACATGTCTGGGTGCTAGAATCTTCTGTGGGGAACGTGGGATCCTTCTTGCTTGCCTTTTAGCCAGTGCGATGGGAGCATGTCCCTGCCTGGCCACCTTCTAGGACCTCCAGCTGTCTACACTGCTTGCTAGAGCCTCCAAGCTGGCTACCACTATGTGACTGAATGTGGTCAGAGTCAGCTTGTTCCTCCTGATGACCCTGCCTATCAGCATTACTTTGAAAGCTGGGTTTCTGGGAAAGTTGAATAATTTAGTATCAAAAGCCATCCCCAGGAAGCAGCGTTAACGTATACCATGCAGCTTGGATGCAAGATCAGAAATGAGGATTGTGTTCGCCTCCTGGTGCTCCTGCTGGCCAGTCCAGTATCCTCTGGTAGTGGTTTTCATGTTCTCCCTGAGTGTTGAGAGACTACAGTGTGGCACTGTCACTTCCAAAGGAAGGCAGGCTCCTGATGCCTTGGGGCCTGAGGAGAGCTGAATAGGCCTCAAGGATCTGTGTTCATCTGTTTCCTTCCACTCATCTGTTCTTCACCGTGAGAGTGGCCAGGGCTCCTTCCCACCACTCGTTGTTCTTCCCTGTGCCCATTTTTCTTTTGGGCCAGTTGTCACTGTTGACAGCGAGTGTCCAGAGTGGCCATGTACATTGGAGAGAGAGTCCAGAATTAGAGACACTTGTCTTCAGTGGAGTGCAGGTCCTCCCACCTCCACCTTGGCCTCTTAAAACAGCATTCACTCCTCAAATACTCAGAGCATTTGTGGAAGGCTTATCAGGTGCCAGCCCTTCCCAGGAATTAGCTCACTGAATTTACCCAGTCACCCAGTGACTTAGCTACTGTCATTATCCCCTTTCAACAGGTGAGTAGACTGAGGCAAGAAAAGGTTAAGGGATTTATCCAAGGTCCCATGATAATTAAGTGGCAGAGTGGAAATTCCATCCCAGCTGTGTATAACCAGTGCACATCACTGCCGCTGTAGTCATGGCCTTAACCCGAGATTCTGTCCATAGGAACACGGTGTTAGAACCAGAAGAAGTCTTGGAAGTTTCCAATTTCAGAGAGGTTCAAAGACAGTCTGCTCTTAAGCCTGCACATGGAGGGGACCCGGGTTTTTTTTTTTTTTTGACTCTTTCTCTTTTTCTCTTAGCTTTTGTTAATTGTATTTTTATTCAAATATTACAATTTGAGAAAAATCATAGAATCATGTCTCCCTGTAATTAAAACCATCTAAAAGCAGTTCCAGGTTCCAGAGCAGTCATTGGTGAGGTGACTTGGAGGAAGTCTCCCTCTCTCTGTGTCTGTCTATAGGGCCCTCCTCTATCCCACCGGGTGTGGGAGGGGCTGTGTGAAGGGATGGGAGGGCATCTCCCCTCTCACCTGAGCTCTCTCTTTTTCCAGTTGTCGATTTCCCAGCTGGCAGTGTCCCCGCACCCCCCAACCCAGCGTCGGTCAGCTAGGCCTTCTCCACAGCAGCCTGATGGCTCACCGCCCAGCCCAGCCCATGCGGTAAGTGCTGCTGTGCCCCCTACTTCCAACTTCCATTCAGAGGATGGCTCCATATTCATGACTTACACTGAAATCTTTCATTTTGCCAGCTTTACTTGTCCTTAGGTGATGAGTATGTCCCTGTGCTCACTGTGATGGGGATGTCACCAGTCTCTGTGATGAAGGCATCACCAAACGCTGTGATGGGGATGTCACTGGACTTGCTGGGATGGGGATGTCACCGGGTTCTCTGTGATGGCGAATCACTGGGCTTTGTGATGATGACATCACTGGGCTCTCTGTGCTGAGGACATCACCAGGCTCTGTGATGGAGTTTTTGCTGGGCTCTCTGTGATGGGGATGTCATTAGGCTCTGTGATGGACATCACTGAGCTTGCTGTGATGATGATGTTACCAGGCTATGATGGGGATATCACTGGGTTCTCAGTGATGGAGTTTTTACTGGGCTCTCTGTGATGAGGATGTCACCAGGCTCTGTGATGGACAATACCAGGCTTGCTGTGATGATGATGTCACCAGGCTATGATGGGGATGTCACTGGGCTCTCTGTGATGAGGATGCCACTGCTCACTGTGACAAGGACGTTACCAGGCTTACATGAGTTACAGGGACTTGGTGGGTGGACACTGTGCTCTCAGCTTCAGACCATGCCTACCAACACGGTGTCTTTGAGGGGGGAAACCAAGAGGGAATTTAGCCCTGAAGCTATTCCTTCCACAGGCTTGATTCAGGTTTTTACATGCTCTGATAAGACAAAGTTCAACTGTCCTTAGAATCTCCGTGCATGAAAGGCAGTGGATGGTGCACTGGAGATATAAATAGATGGATACAGACTCAGCCCCCATGCGTGCTGTCCTTGCTGACACAGCAGCTTATGGAGAATTAGCGAAACCCACCCTCCTGGATTCACGTGGACTGAATGGCTGAAAAAGGCCTGTGCTTCTCCTGACCTTGGGGATTCACATGGAGTTTTGTCTCATAACCCTGCCAACTGTAGTGTTTCACTGAAAGCATATTGAGGAAAAATAGCTCCATTTAACCACTCATTTGGAAACACCGATAATGACATGCCTTATCCTAGAAGATTCCAGGGCTCATGTATTTATAAAGAGCTTGTATATCTTTCTATTATCAGCACCTGATGCCTGTGTTAGGGTTCCCTCTGGCCATGTGGTATTCCTTTTGAACTGAAACCAGAAAGCTTGTGATTTAAGCTTAAAAGAGAACATTCTAGATACCTGTCTCCCAGACAAGCTCTTTATCTAGACGTAAATCTTCTGCTTTAGAGGAGCATAGAAGGTGGAGCACAAGTGAATGACTAGAATACTCAGGAGATGTGGGACAGGACAAGAGAACTTGCTGTGCACACCAGCAGGGGCTTGGCACCGCAGGTTACCTCTGAGTACTGAAGGGAGGGGTCATCTTTCTGCTCTGTGAACATGGCTTTTCTGTTAGTTTACCATCTAAGACATCAGATACCTGCCATGGAACCTGTCCGTAAAATCCATGAGTCTGTTCTCATTGTGTTTAAACTCACTGAGAGGCTGGCCAGATGAAGTACAGGATACCCAGTTAAGCTTGAATTTGAGAAACAACAAATAGTATTTTAGTATAAGAATATACTAGTTAAGGAGTCCTTAATGCAGTGGTTAAGTGCTTGACTGCTGACTGAAGTGTTAGCAGTTTGAACCCACCAGCTGCTCCCTGGGAGAAATATGTAGCAGTCTGCTTCCCATCAAGATTACAGCCTTGAGAACCCGATGAGGCATATCTATGCTACTGTGGTCAGAATCACAGGCTGATGGCAACAGGTTTAATTTGGCTTTCAATCCCAATTAAGGAGCCCTGATGGCACAGTGGTTTAAAGTGCTTGGCCCTAACTGAAAAGTTGGTAGTTTGAACTCACTAGCTTGCTTTGCAGGATAACGATATGGCAGTCTGTTCCTGTAAAGATTGTCCCAAAAAAAACCACTGTCATCAAGTTGATTATGACTCAGCGACCCTGTAGGATTTCCAAGGCAGTAAATCTTTATGGAAGGAGACTGCCTCATCTTTCTCTGGAAAGTTCAGCTGATGGGTCTAATCTGCCACCTTTTGGTTAGCAGCTGAATGCCTAAACCACTGTACTACCAAAGCTTGGGAACCCTATGGGGCAGTTCTGCCCTGTCCTGTAGGGTCACTATGAGTCAGAATCACTTGACAGTACCTAACAATAATAATAACATATCCCAAATATTGCTCAGGACATACTTACACTATTGCTTACCTGAAATTGAAATTTAACTGAACCTTTTGTATTATTATTGGCTAAATCTGATAGCCTGACAAGTTCCCTTCAATTGGAACACTGCCCTCACAGGCTGAGATGCTCGTTGGCCTCACCTAGGGGCCCTCATTTTGTTTGGCAGGAGCACCCCTTTGAGGGCAGGATCTCTCACCTGGAAGCTGACCTGAGCCAGACTTCTGTGGTCCTGGACACGTGCATTGCTGAGCAGTTGCAGGAGCTGCCCTTCACACCATTGCATGCCCCAATCGTCATTGGGGCCCAGGCCAGGAGGTGAGGTGGTGGCTCTGATGGGGTGTGGACCAACAAGTGCTTATGTGATCCATGCTGCCTTATGCTCTGAGCAGTAGGCTTTCCAAAAACAAGTTTGTTTTCAGGTCCTGTTCTACTGTTCCTGCTTGCCCTTCTCCAGGCAGCTAGCCGAGGTTTGCTTTCTGTTACAGCTCCGGAAGTGCACTCTCCCGTGCCTCAGTGGTGCTCCTGCAGTCCTCTGGCTTCCCAGAGATTTTGGATGCCAATAAGCAACCAGCTGAGGCTGTGAATCCCACGGATCCCGTGAAATTCTCCCCTCAGAAAGAAGAATCAGACTGTCTGCAGAGCAACGAAATAGTGCTGCAGTTTCTTGCCTTCAGCCGGTAAATTCTTTTTTTTTGGAAACTAAAGAGAATTTAATGGAGGTAGATGTTATCTTACAACAGCATTTATGAGACATAAACTTTGTCGTGTTCTCTCAGCTTAGGTATTCAAATGAAAAAATAATTGTTACATAGGTGAAAAAGCATTCACCCTTGCTTTACTTTTCAATTATTTCATTACTGGTAAGGCTGAATATATTTGTATCTTCCTTAGCCACTGTTTTGTGTGTGTGTGTGATTTGGGTGAGAGTTTACAGAGCAAATTCATTTTCCATTCAACAGTTTATGCACATTTTGTTTCATGACATTGATTGCAAGCTTTCTTCCCACTTCTCTGTGGTTACCTTTTCCCTGTGTCCGTCTTTCCTATATGTTCCTGCCCTCTGAGCTATCTCCCTGTGCAAATACTACCCTTTTGATCTCCTATGGTTGATTGTTCTGAGGAGTGTACCTACCTGGTGTAAATATTCTCCTTGTTGTTACGTGCCGTCAAGTCGGATCCAACTCATAGCGACCCCTCCTTGGGTTTCCGAGGCAGTATCACTACAGAAGTAGATTGCCCCATCTTCCTTCCGAATTCTCCTTGTAGGCCTGTCTATTGTTTGGCTGGAAGCCACAGGAGTGAGTTCAAGTCCAGGCCTGAATGGTCCATCGTCTCGGGGGTTTCACCAGTCTCTTATCAGACCAATAAGGCTGGCCTTTTTTATGATTTTGAGTTTTGTTCCACATTTTTCTCCCACTCTATCTAGGATCTCCTATTTTTTTTTTAAAATGGTTCTTTGGGTGCAAATTGACAGTAGGAATTTATTTTACATTCAACAGTTTGTGTATATTTAGTTTCACCCCCCCAATTACCATCCTCAACCCTAACCCACTCTCCTCCTCTCTCTTCCCAGTGACCCCACCATCCCTGTACCCTTCTTAGTTATGCACTCCTGTCTGTCCAGCTTTTCCTCTGTGTAAATGTCGCCCCTCTGGTGCCCATGGCCGATTGCTCCAAGGGATGCATCTCTGTAGAGTAGGTGGGTTCATCACTCTGGGTTGGGTGTTCTGCATGTGAGTCTTATTACTGTTGGGCTGAGAGCCCTTGGGAGTGAGTTTTATCCCAGGCCCGAAGCGTATCCCAGGGCCATAGTCTTGGGGGTCCCACCAGACTACATCTGACCAGTAATTCTGGTTGTTACTGTGTTTTTGAATTTTGTTCCAGGTTTTTCCTCCCACTCTATCCAAGATTTCCAGTTTTGATCCCTTCCTGAGTGGTTGGCATTGGTAGTCAGGCACCATCTAGTTCTTCTGGTCTCATGGTCCATCATATCCTAGGGCTGATTGCTTCCAAATGCCGTTGGTTTTCTTCACATCTACTATTTTCATTCCTTTCCAAGTGGTTGACAGTGGTAGTGTGACACCATCTAGTTCTTCTAGTCCCAGGGCCTTGTAAGCTAAGGTTCACATGGTCCACTAGTCCCTTGGACTAATTGTTTCCATGTGTCATTGGTTTTCTTCATTCTTCTTTGCTCCAGAAAAGGAGAGACCAATTGTTGCACTAAAATGGCCACTGCAAGCTACTAACAACCTAGTTGTAACAACCTAGTTGCTACTCACCAAAGTAGAATGTAGAATGATGTTTTTGTGTAGTATGTTCTGCCAATTGAGCTTGATGTCCTCTGTGACCATGGTCTCAAGCCCACAGGCTCCTCAGTGTACTCCCTCAAGATGTTTCTCTGTGGCTAAGAAATTATCATAATCTTGCCCTCTGTTAGCTCTATTATATATGTGGATATTCTTACAGCATGTACAAATACGTAGGTAGAAATATCATCTCTCAAACTTATATATGGTTATAGGTCTCACTTCTTTGAGCTATATACCTGGTTGCTGGATCAAATGGTATTTCTGTTTAAAACTTTCTAAGGAAGCACCGTACCATTTTCCACAGTGGTTGTATCATTTTACAGTCCCATCAGCAGTGTATGGGAGTCCCAATCTCTTCACATCTTCACCAGCATTTGTTATTTTCTATCCTGTTGAACTTTGCTATTATTGGTGGGGTGAAATGATACTCATTGTTGTTTTGATTTGCATCTCTCTAATGGCTGATGGAGGAGCTCTGGTAGGTACTTGACTGCTAACCAGAAGGCTGGCGGTTCAAATCCACCAGCCACTCCTCGGAAGAAAGATGGGGCAATCTACTTCCATAGTGATACTGCCTCGGAAACCCAAGGAGGGGTCGCTATGAGTCGGGTCCGACTTGACAGCACATAACAACAACAACAATGGCTGATGATTGTAAGCATTTCTTCATGTCTGTTGGCCACCTGAATATCTTCTTTGGTGAAGTGTATATTCATGTCTTCTGCCCATTTTAAAATTGGATTGTTTGTCTTTTTGATATTGAGGTGTTAAAAGTTTTAGAGGAAAGTCCCTTGTCAGATATGTCATTGCTGAATATTTTTTCCCAATTTATAGGTTCTCTTTTTACTCTTTTGCAGAAGTCTTTTGATACACATCAGAATTTAATTTTCAGAAGGTCTGTCTTCTAGTTTGTCTTCTACTATTTGTGTATTTTTACTTATGCTTGATAGTCTATTAATGCCATGTGTTAGGGCCCCTATGTTTGCCCTATTTTTTCTTTGATAAACTTTATACTTGTAGGTTTTTACATTTAAGTCTTTGATCAATCTTGAGTTAGTTATTGTCTATAGTGTGAGGTATGGATCTTGTTTCATTTTTCTGCAAATGGATATCCAGTTTTGCCAGTACCATTTGTTAAGGAGACTGTCTTTTCCTCATTTAATGGATTTTGGCCCTTTGTCAAAGATCAGCTGATCATAGGTGGATGGATCTATTTCTGGGTTCTCAATTTGGTTTCACTGATCTGTGTGTCTGTCATCATTCTAATTATACCAGGCTGTTTTGACTACTGTGGCTGTACAGTAGGATTTGAAATCCAGGAGTCTGAGACTTCCTACTGTGTTCTTCTTCAGCAGTGCTGTGCTTATCTGAGATCTCGTTCCTTTCCATATAAAATTGGTGATTGGTTTTTCCATGTCCTTAAAGAATGCTGATGGAATCTGGATTGGGATTATATCGAATATATAGATTGCTTTGGGTAGTAAGGACATTTTCATAATGGTCAGTCTTCTTATCTGTGAGCATAGTATGTTCTTCCATTTACGTAGCTCTCTTAGAGTTTTGTATGGTGTTTTATAGTTTTCCTTCTACAGGTCTTTTGTGTCTCTGGTAAAGATTTATTCACAAGGATTGTATTTTTTGCTAACTACTATAAGTTGTATTGCTTTCCTTATTTTCTTTTCAGAGATCTCTTTGCTGGTATAGAGAAATCCAACTGATTTTTGTATGTTGATCTTGTATCCTGCCACTGTGCTGAATCTTTCAATTAGTTCTAATAGTTTTTTTGCTGAGGCTTTGGGATTTTCTATGTATGTATGCAAATAGGGATAGTTTTACTTCTTCTTCACCAATTTGGATGCCTTTGATTTCGCTTTCTTGTCTTATTGCCCTGGCTAGGACTTCCAATACAATGTTGAATAGAAGTGAGGACATACTTGTCTGGTTCCTGTTCTCAAGGGGAATGGTTTCAGTCTCTCTCCATTGAGAATAATGTTGGCAGTTGGTTTTGCATATATGCCCTTTAGTATGTTGAGGCATTTCCCTTCTATTCCTATTTTTCTGAGAGTTTTTTTATCAGGAATGGATGTTGAATTTTATCAAATGACTTTTCTACATCGATTGATATGATCATGTGGTTCTTTTCCTTTATTTTACTTATGTGATGAATTACATTGACTGTTTTTCTAATTGTGAACCATCCTTGCATACCTGCTATGAATTCCACTTAATCATTATTATCTTTTCGGTATGTTGTTTAAATACATTTGCTAGGATTTTGTTGAAGATTTTTGTGTCTATATTCATGAGGGATATTGGTCTGTAGTTTTGTTATCAGGGTTATGCATGCTTCATAAAATGGATGTGGGAGTATTCCATCCTTTTTTATGTTCTAGAATGGTCTGAGTAGGATTGGTGTCAACTTTTCTCTGAATGGTTGGTAGAAATTTTCCAGTGAAGCCATCTGGGCCAGGACTTTTCTTTGTTGGTAATTTTTTTTTATGACCCATTCAATTTCTTCTTTTCTTATGGGTCTCTTTAAATTTTCTACCACAGTCTGTGTCCTGTAAGTAGTGTGTTTCTAGAAATCTGTCTATTTATTTTAGGTTTTCAAATTTGTTGGAGTACAGGTCTTCACAGTATCCTGATATTATTATCCTTTTTAATAGGTTGGTTCTGTTGTGACATTGCCCATTTTCTTACTCATTTTATTTGCATCTTTTTCTTTCTTTTCCTTTGTTAACTCTTCAAGTGGTCTGTCAATTTCATTAATCTTTCCAAAGAATCAACTAATAGTCTTGTTGATTTTTTCTTTCTTTCTTTTTTTTTTGGTTTCTTTCTTTGTTTTCTGTTTCATTTATTTCTGCTCAAATATTATTTCTCTTCTTCTGGTGATTGAGTCATCTTTTGCTGCTTTTTTTCTAATTTTTGGAGATGTTGGGTTAAAGTGTTGATTTTGGCTTTTCTTTTTTGATGTGTGCATTTATTGCTATAAATTGCCCTCTGATCACTGCTTTTGCTGTGTCCCAGAGATTTTGGTATGTTGTGTTTTCATTTTCATTCGATTCAAACAATTTCTTTTTATTTCTTTCTTTATTTTACTTTTGCAGTGTTTCCTCCCCTCCCCACCCATCCCTAGTAAACAAGAAAGAAAGTTTCCTTCCATATATAAACCTTTCCTTGACTTTTTACAATAATGAACTAGTACAATATTTGTCTTTCTGTGATTGATTTATTTTACTCAGCATAATGTCCTCCTAGTTCATCCACATTATGTGATGTTTTGCAGATTCTACATTATTCTTTAATGTTGCGTAGTATTCCATTGTGTGTGCGCACCATAGTTTGGTTATGCATTCTTCTGTTGATGG